CAGGGCCCGGCCCACTCGCCCGCGCCGTCCGAGCCCGTGTCCTCGGAGCCCGAGCTGGCGCTGGAGCAGCGCTTCCTGCGGGCGCCCCGGGCGGCCGCTCCGGGCGTCCTCTCCACCGTGCAGCGCGCCTCATAGACAGAAGACACCTGCGGAGGGAAAGTCCAGTCAGACGGGTGCCCGGGCCCGCGGCCCAGTACAAACTCTGATCCTGTGGAGAGGGACACGTGAGGATCTGAGTGTCTCCAGGCAGAGCAGCCTCTCCCCGGATCCAGGTGGGTGTGGGCTGGGCATGGGGCACCACGCACAGCCACGCCCTCCCACAGCTCCCATTCCAAGAGGGAGACCACCACGCCAACTGCAAACCCCACTGCGGGAGTGGGGCACTCAGACCGGAGTCTGGGGAGGCGGTCTCTGAGGCATCCTCGCCTGAGGGCCGAGAAGCAGGCGGAGCCACAGTCACAGCCAAAGCTCCCGGACTGGCTGGGCCTCGGACTAGGGTTCCAGCACCAGCTGGTACTTCTTAGGAGAACTCTGCTGTGTGAGGCTGGCTCCCACACTGGACGGCCAGTATCTCTGCCCCAGGACACCGCGTGTAAGTGGTGACTCCCTAGTCATAGTAACCAGCACACTCCCCCATCACAGTAACTAACAGTACTACCCCCATAGGAACTAGTAGCGCTTCCCTCACCCCCAAAGTGATAGAACCCCCCGTCACAGTAACTAGCACTCCCCACTCATAACTAAGTTCCCCTATCATAGTAATTAGCAACACCCCATCACAGTAACTACCAGCACCCGCCCACCCGTCACAGCAGCTAGGGCACCTGGGGATACAACACGCAGGGCCTCGGGGGCATGGCAAGGGTTTGGGTTTCATCTAAGAAGGCAGAGGACATTGGCTGGGAGTGTGGATCCTCACCAGCTCCAGGAGCACTCAGCGTGCAGCTGCATGGCCCAGGCTCACCGGCTCCGGGAGCACTCAGGGTGCAGCTGCACGGCCCAGGCTCACCGGCTCCGGGAGCACTCAGCGTGGAGCTGCATGGCCCAGGCTCACCGGCTCCGGGAGCACTCAGCGTGGAGCTGCATGGCCCAGGCTCACCGGCTCCAGGAGCACTCAGCGTGCAGCTGCACGGCCGAGGCTCACTGGCTCCGGGAGCACTCAGTGCACAGCTGTGAGCTGAGAGACAATGGTCTGGAGCTCTGAGTGCCTCGGTGTCCTCTCCTGCACACAGTGTAACAGCACCTACCTCGTGGGCTTGCTGAGGACCACAGGGGGCAGGCAGACCGGGCGGCCATGTGCCTTGCTCTGGAGGAGGTTGGAGGGGCACAGCGGAAGAGAACAGGGAAGGCCAAAGCTGACCAGGAGGGCGGCGTGAGGAGCGGAGGGTTTGGAACAGCTGAGGTGGGGATCAGGACTGGCACAGACTGCGTGGAAGGTGAGAGGGAGAATGCCCAAAGCTGGGCGAGAAGCTGTGGGCAGGGTGCATTCACGGGAGGGAAGGACTGGGGCGCCATGGCAGCGAGCATGGACACGGGAGGAGCCTCGAGAGGACAGGGTGCTCGGGGAGAGGTTCTCGCAGCACTGGACTGACCCTGACAGGCACACCGGGAAGAAAAAGCTGCTTCCTGCAACCCATCTGCCTGCCCGCCCTCTGGTGTGCCAGGCCTGCGGGGGCGGCAGAACGCAGGCGGGGCTGCGGCTGCTGCGCTGGACCCGGGACGGGAGGCACAGACGGCTCCGCGGGCTGTGCAGGAAGGTGAGGAGGGCACCCACCGTGTCAATGTGGGAGTGACAGGCTCAGGTCTGGATTCAGTGAGGCCAGAGGCGCTGCGCTGTGGACCAAGCCAAGGGCCGCAGAGGAGAAGGGTCGCAGCCCGAGCTCAGGGACAGGAGGGGAGGTCTCGGCCTCGTGGCGAGGGGCTGCCGCTGGGGGTCAGCAGGAAGAAGCAGGACAGTGCACTTACCCTATTAAAATCTAACAGGCGCTCCTCGTTACAGGGCCTCTCTTTAGCAGCTGGATACTCTTCTATACCATTCTCTCCCTCGGCATTTGTATAACATTCTTACTCATTTTGAGTGGAGAGGGAAAAAAGGGAAAGGGGGAAAGTCCATTAAGACACAGATATGACACATATAGCCTTGCTTCATTCTCTGCTGAAAGTCACATCAGTTAGGCTACCAACCCAGGGGGCGGGGTTCGTGTCACTAAGGAGCCAGCCAGGACATGTGAGGCAAACACTTGTCACAGACTGGGTTTTTAAACCAGGCCAGCATCACCCTGGGTTCCTGCTCTCCTACCGGGACACATCCACTCCATCACGCACACAGCTACGCCTCATCTCACTGCACGTCACAGATTTACTTTCAAAAACAACAAATGGAAGGCAAGACCCTCCGCCAGCAAAACGATTCCCACTGGCTTTCCTGTGAGTCTTCACACAGTGGCGGGACGGACCCGCAGCACCTCCGAGGTGGGCCCTGGGACGCAGGATAAAGACGCGAGGTCCAAGCCTGCCACGGAGGGAGACCACGGGCCGGTGTGTGCTGCGCTAACAGATGGACAAAGGGTCCGACAGGAGGAACTGGGATGAGAAGTCAAAGCAGGGGCGTCGATGCTTGCTCTTCAGCAACTCCACCCAGACTACCCACATTCCTCTCACCTGGGGAGGGTGGCGGCCACAGGGGGGCGTGAGGGGCCGGAAGCTGAAGTCAGAGGAAGTAGGCGTGTGTCCCAGGGCCCTCGAGCCCACACTCGCTCGAGCCCACACTCGGGGCTGCAGGAGGGCGGGAGGCCCAGCCCACTAACATTCTGACTCAGCTGGTGGGGGAAGGGCCTGGGGATTAGCATTTCCAGAAAAGCTCCCAGGGACTCCCTTTCTCCAGTATTTATGTTTGCATATACTTTTATTGCCTTTGATTTTGCAGTCAGAGGTGACTCTTTCCCCAGGGAGAGCTGATGCGCAGTAGGGCAGGCCCTCCTCCCACAATGTGGAGCAGGCTGGAGGAGGTGCAGGGAGTGGGCCTGGGCAGCCTGGGTTTGGGCCGCTGTTGAAGTCACTGTGTGGAGGTCCTTTGACACCCCAAGCATCTGCCCCTAGGTGCTCAACAAGACGGCTGCCTCTTCACAGAAGCAGAGGTCAGGCCCAGGGTTGGGGGGAGGGAGACTGTGCCGAAGCAAGGCCACCTGGGCCCTGCCTGGCGTTATCCCGAGGCCGCTCTGGCACACTGTCCTTGCCGTAGCCTACTGCAGGCCTCAGAGGTCGGAGTGTAGGTTGTGAAAGCAACCAGGACCCAGGATAGTCGATCAGGCTGGTTCCTGGGTGGCCACGTGTGAGGCAGAGGGGAGGCTGGCTGGGCCTCTCTGGGCTGCCCTCATCGCTAACACAGGAGCACACGGCCCTCCAGGTTTCTGGGTGGTGTGCCCGAGCAGCGCTGGCACGCCCAGTAACACCTCCCCAAGGGCACGACCCAGCCGCGGCTCAGGCATTGGCTCCCGCTGCCTCGCACTCTGATGAGGCGGGGACACCCTCACCCGCTCTCGGAGGCCACCTTTTCCTGGGCGGCCTGACCAAGTCCCATCTCCCAGGCCCACCCCCGGGTCAGCACTGGTACCAGGGGAGGTGAGTGGTGGCACTGGGACACCCCTGGAGAAGAGGGTCCGTACGCCCGACCCCTCGCTTTCCCCAGGAACCCGCTATGGACGAAAGGGGGTGGTGACGCCCCAGGAAAGGACGTGTCATTGCTGCCCGTGTTTCCACGACCCTCACGTTGGTGCTGCATGTCCAGGCTATAACTGTGCCAGTCCTGTTCTAGACTCTTCTCTTCACAGCTACCCTGTCAGGGAGGCTTAGCTCCCACCTCTTTTTACAAATACAGGCCATGGAGGCACAGAGAGGCCGGGTCATGGCCAATGTCCAGGAGCTGGTAGCAGGCACTCGCTTCCAACTCAGTGTTGTCTCCTGAGCCCTTAGCTATTATCGCACTGGCTCCTCCAGGCTCCCGTTAGGCTAACGTCACACACACGCTGCCAATGAGCTCAGAGTCCAGTGTGTGAGCTCTGGGGTCGCAGCCAGGGCAGACCGCCGCAGGACGGCGTGCACAGCCGGCAAGGCTCTGGGGTCTGAGTCCGCATGGGCCCCCTTGCTAGGCATGCTGGGGCACGGCAATGCATCCCGCTGCAGCCCGGCCTCTGCCTGCACCTGTCCCCCAGCAGCTCCGGCTGTCACAGGGCTTGCATCCTATTCCCTCGGGTCCCTGCTCCAATGTCAGCTCCTCAGGATGTGAGGGACTCGGTCGGTGGCCTCTGGCCCTCAGTGCCTAGAACAGTGCCTGGCACAGGTAGGCATGCAAGCAATATTTGCTGAATGGATATGAATGCACAGCAAGGCCGGCAGGTGGCAGAGCGCATGCCAGCCAGGCTCCCACGCTGCTCCGGGCGTGTGGACAAGCTGCCTCACTGTGAGTGGGAAGACCCTCCTCCCCAGGAGGCTGAGTGCTCCCAGTTCAGCCCCTGGAGGAGCAGCATGAGCTTGTCAGTCGTCAGCAGCAGCCTGAGAGGGTCAGGAGCTGCCACCAGCCAAGTGGAGGAGGGGCCACTGCTTCCCTGGCCAACCTCCTGAAATGACAGCCCACTCCCTAGGGCAGCGGTCGGCGAACTGCGGCTCACAAGCCACACGCGGCTCTTTGGCACCCTGAGTGTTCTAATGCCACTTCTTCAAATAGACTCGCCCAGGCCAAAAACTGCCTTCTGTGCATGGGCCACGAAGTTAGTTTCTTTCTTTCTTTCTTTCTTTCTTTCTTCTTTCTTTCTTTCTTTCTTTCTTTCTTTTTCTTTCCTTCCTTCCTTCCTTCCTTCCTTCCTTCCTTCCTTCCTTCCTTCCTTCCTTCCTTCTTTTCTTTCCTTCCTTCCTTCCTTCCTTCCTTCCTTCCTTCCTTCCTTCCTTCCTTCCTTCCTTCCTTTCTTTTCTCTTTCTCTCTTTCTCTCTTTCTCTCTTTCTTAATATATTTTATTGATTTTTTACAGAGAGGAAGAGAGAGGGATAGAGAGTTAGAAACATCGATGAGAAAGAATCATCGATCAGCCGCCTCCTGCACACCCCCCACTGGGGATGTGCCCGCAACCAAGGTACATGCCCTTGATCAGAATCAAACCTGGGACCTTTCAGTCCACAGGCCGACGCTCTATCCACTGAGCCACACCGGTTTCGACTGGAACACGAAGTTTCAGTTGCACTGTATGTGCGCGCCCACACGTGGTATTTTGTGGAAGAGCCACACTCAAGGGGCCAAAGAGCCGCATGTGGCTCGCGAGCCGTGGTTTGCCAGCACTGCCCTAGAGTAAAGACGCTTCCAAACACCACTGCAGGCAGCTTTTGCAGGAGCTAACTCACACTTGGGAGTTAAAGATCACTCAAAAGCCCGGTCACCGTTCCACACCCACTCAGAGTTTCTCTGTGGCTATGTCTCGGTGAAAATGCACGAGCAATCACGTGAGCACCTGCCGAGGGCGTACAGATACAGGACCCAGCGTGAGAGCCAGACTAGGTCCCTCATAGCTGGGGAGAGGCAACTGGGCAGGGCACGCTAACAAAGCAAGACTCCATGTGTCTGAGCATCACTCTCAGCCTCACAGGTATGGGCTTCTTAACTCCCAGCTGCCTGCGGCCCATCCCTCGCTCCACCTGGCCCCTCCGGGAGGTCCCTGCTGAACTGCTCTGGGCACTCGGCCCTCCTACTGCACCCCTGTCACCCAAACCCAGGGACCACACTAGACACCAGTCAAGGCAGGTTTGTGCTCCTATCGCCCAAGCATCTCCCTGACACCGAGTGCAGACCCCGGCTGCGGAGAGCAAGGCCCTGGAAGGCGGGGAGATGTTATGGAATCTGAGAATTAGCTTTCCGCCTGAAAACGGGGTGACGCTGCACAAGGCTTCTGTGGGAGCTGTATAACAGAAAAGATATTGAGAGCACCTGGTTATTAAAGGGCAACCCAGACCTTAGCTCCTGGCAAAGCAGCCTTCACTAAACGCTGTCAGATAAAATAGACGCTCAAAATGAAGCCCTGCTCTGGGCTCTCCTTTTGACTCGGCAAACCTTTGGGAAGGAGGAAGGCAGGGATTGGGAGGCCTTTCTGTGCTCACAGCAGAGACAAGCAAACACTCTGGACTCCCCGTTGGCCGAGGCCAGGCTGAAGGCCAGTGCAGGCCCTGAGCACCCAGGGGCACGGCATCTGGGCAGCGAGGGACAGACGGCGCTGCATCCTCACTACAAACAGTGGGAGACGAGACGTGAACATGCACACTAGCAAAGGAGCTACATGGCAGCAGGGCTGACGCCGGGAGGCGGGGCACCAGGACTAGCTCAGCCTCTTGCGCTGGTCTATTTAGGGGGCCTCCTTCCTGCCCACATCTCCCAGAATTCCAAACTGAGGTCTGTATGGCTCCTGGGTGGGTCTACCTAGGAGGCTCATAAATGTAGCCACCTCCACCAAACCTCCTGGTCCCATCTCTCCTCTCCCGGGTCTCCCCAAGCTCCCCTTGCTGTTCAGTCCTCACAGCAAGTCACTCAACAAGCTCTGGCACCCTCTGCAAGCCTCCAAAGCCGTTCTCTCCCTGCTGCCCGCGGTGCTACACGGGGCGGGCCTAGGAACCCCAGGCGCTCGGCCTCTCTGCTCCATCTGCACCTGCTGCTAGGACTGCTGTAATCCCGGACCCAACAGTCCGTGAACTCCTGAGGGTGGCCTTCCTTCCCGCACAGTCAGCTGCACTGACCCAGGGCTCCCACACCCGGCCCGCTCCTCCGCCTGCCTTCCGGGCCTCAGCTGCTTTGGCTTCTGGGCAGCCGCTCTTTTCAGGCACTGGCCTCCCGGCTTCCCCACCTGGGTCTTCCTGCAGGCCTCGGGGGCGACTTCCTCCCACAGCTCCCTGGGGGCCGGCATGGCCTCGGCGAAGGCCAGGCTGCGGGTGCGTTTCCATGCCTTCCCCACGCCAGGCTGTGGCCGAGTGCAAGAGCAGAGACCGGCTCTCCTCCATCCATATCCCCAGTGCCTGACGTGCCAGCCACATGGACACCACGTATGTTTTGGACTGACATTCAGAGCAAAAGAATGTATTGCTCTTAACGGATGAGAAACGTGAGGGGAAGACCTGGCGGCGTCTCCTTACCTTCGCACTCTGACGCGGGGAAAAGGGGCGAGTACAGGGCTTTCTCCCACCAGGTCTGCTTCTCCTGACTTCGGGTTATTCCTGGTACATCAGTGCTCAGCACGGGGAACTGTGTAGATTCAACCACATTCAGAAAAGTTTACAAGCTTTCGGGACAAAGGAAGCATTCGAACATTAACTATGGACCACAAACCCGGGGTTTTTAAATTGATGAGTGTTTTGTGTTTATTTGTTTTTTCTGTTCTAGACAAGGTGGACTTAAAAAAGCCAAATGATCACAGCACATAAAGTGAGTTTTTCTTAAGAAGCACGTATATTGAAAGTGGAATGAAAATTTTTAAACACGCAAACACTAAAATTCTTACAAGGCAAAACGTATTACAGCAAATACCCCCAAGTAAGGGAAGTTTCTAGACTTTGGGAGTGCAGGCAGGTGGCGTGGCGTCTCTGCTGGTGAGGTGCTCTAGAGAAAATGAGGGGACCCTCCTCTTCACACACCAGGCTCAAGGGAGTCAAGGAAGGAGAAATGGGACAGAAGGAAAGTTTATAGCCAGTTTTTGGCCCAAATGTGTTTAAAACAGAATTACTTGCTTCAATGAGAAACAGCAGGAAGTTGAGACTAAAAACCCAATAATAATGCTGAGAGCAATTCCATTCAAACCAGGACATGGCCTTGGAAATGCAGGGGGGAGGGGACGGTGGAGGGGGAACTCTGAGGCAGGAAACCCGTACACTCTCTGCATCTTCCCAGCCCCGCACAGTGGCACCAGGCCCCAAGGGGACCAGGTCTGAATCCAGGCTCCATCCCTGAAAGGGCAGCTCTCAGGCCCCGGCCAGATCCCGCCCACCTGTATGCAATGTGGCCAGTGGGCAAGGCAGCAGGTGCCCATGGGGTGGCAGTCAGACATCTGTGGCAGCTGCAGTGCCCATGTGCGTCTTGGCTGCTGATGGCCAGGGCATCCTCAGCCATGCTCCTCCATCCCTGGGCCGGACGACAGGCTCTCCCCGGGGAAGGCCTGGTCTCGGTGTCCTCACCTCCCACAGCCCCACCCTCTCCACAGACATCTGCTCAGGGCACAGGCCCGTGGACACTGCACACACCTTTACCGTTTTAGGAGACAGTTATTAGTGTTCAAGTTTAAAATCTGTTTTAGCAACTAATACTCACCAATTCTCTAACAGGTCTGTTACTCTCTTAAAGTACTTTGTGGACCCACACTTTAGCCACGGGGTGTTTTTTATTGTTTAACTAAATGGGAAACACACTTCAAACTTTCACTTTTGCTTAACATAACTTGTCAGAAATGCGCCTAGAACTGAAACGGAAGGAGTTATGCTGTCACCATGCCCTCCTGCAGCTTCCTTGAACAATGACCATTAGCACTGCGATTAGAGCAACAGAAACAAGGGACAGCGACTGCCCAGGGAGGCTTAATGCAAAGGAGGTGTGCAGGCAGAGGGACCCACCAGGAGCGGGTCGGCAGGACGAGGCGGGGGCGTGTACGAGTGAGCCGGCCTGTGCGCTTCTTAAGGGCATGCAGGAGCAGGTCTCATTACCTCTGCGCCAGGTAGGGGACTGGCACATGTAGGTACTGGGTCTGTGGACCCGCAGAAGACCCTGCCTATAGCTCCTGGTTATCAAGCACGCTCTCTCCCTCTCAAGCCGAAACACGGTGGAGATTGTGCCAGTTCCTGCATCCTGAAAATTCCTCTAGAATTTTTTCTGCATCCGCCATTAGAGTGGCAGTCCCAATGGCAGGGACTTTCTGTCCTGTTTGGGCTCCAATGAACACATAATCAATGTGCGTGCATTATTTTTTATGCTGCCTGTCTCCTGATTTGTCTTTTGATTAATATCGTTAATAAGCTCCGGCCAGGTCCTGTGCGCCAAAGAATGCCAGTTCAATACCCAGTCAGGCCACAAGCCTGGGTTTCAGGCTGGATTCCCAATAGGGAGAGTGCAGGAGAGTGTGACTGATGTCTCTCTCTCTCCCTCCCTTTCTCTACAATCAATAAAACATGTTTCAATATATAGTTAATACACTATATTATATTTGTCTCAGGTGCACAACATAGTTATTCAGCATGATGGAGAGACCAAGGATGTGATCGCCACGGTAAGTCTCACGACCTCTGACACATACGACCTTTGCCAAAGCAGTGTGCGCTATTCTAGGTCATCTTTCCACTTAGCTGGCTGCGGCTTCTAGGCTGCACCGTGGAGATGCCCGTGCTCTGAGTGAAGTCTGTTTGATGAATTAACTCCACTTCCGTTCTGTTTGCGAGCGAGAGGAAGAGAACGGAGGCTGGGAGAACACTGCCTGGACGAACCGGCACCTGCCCGACCTCCGCGCCTCCCGACAGCTCCTCAGCTCGCGCCCTCCCTCAGGCCTCTCCTGAAACTGCCCTGCCCCAGACGCCTGCCAGCCCCCAGATGTATGACAGACACCCCTCCTCCTGCCTCAGCATCGGCTGTGGTCAGTGGGCCCCACAAACGCGTGCACTGGCAAACTGGGGACGAGAGAGACCAGCTGACCCCGGAGAGCCAGCCCGCACCCCGGCCATGAGCACTCAGGATGCTCAGCAGGCGGAGGGCGGAGGCCCCGTTAAACCCGCTGCGCGGTCCCGGCTCTGGTGAAGAGCGGGCTCTGGCTCCTCTGTGAGCTCTGGACTGGCTTTGCCACAGTCTGCTCTCAGCTCTGGACACAAAAGTAAAGAAAGCCTCCTGTAACCTTGTTCTTCAGGAGGAGGAGGAATGTAAGTGAAGAGATGAGAGAGTGGCAGGGACCAACGAGGGACTTGAGTCTGAGAGACCTGACAGACGGACACTGGCAGTCTGAAGCTTCCCTTCGGCTCTGCCCCTCAGACGGGGACCCGGGACAGGCGCTTACCCCCTGGACCAGTGTCCTGGGCAGCCACAGGGGACCTGCTGCAGGGCTCTGCGGGCATGCGGTGACAGCAGCGGGGATGGTCACATGGCTGCCGGCACCTGTGGGGCGGCCCCGGGCGCCACCCCCATCAGCCTCTGGCCCCGCACACTGCCTGCCCCACGGCCTCCTCTCCAGAACTGCCAGCCCTGAAGGCTGCATGACATAGTTATTCCACATGGCAAGACCCAAGGATGTGATCGCCATGGTAAGTCTAGTGACCACCTGACATACATGACCTTTGCCAAACAAGAATGTGTTACTCGATGACCGAGGCCTCCGCCTCTGTTCCGTGCTTCGAAGTACAGGGCACCAGGCAGCAATCAAGCAGGTGACAAGTGTCCTGTGACACACTCAGCTGGCCCTCAGGAGCCGGGAGCCACTCAGGCAGGGCCTGCGCACTCTGGAGTTCATTTCAGGCCTCTTGACCTTCGCCCGTGCCCTTCCTCCGGCCCCGTGCTGCCTCCTTTCCGCCTGAGCCCGCAGCTGCTAAGACGCCTCCCTGATTCCCAGGGTGAGGGCATGCTCTGGGACCCCAGGCATCCTGTGCTCCCGGCGCCTCGCCCCTGCCATGCCGCCTAAAACTACCCGAAGGTAAGGGACCCGCCGGGCAAACCCTGGTACATCCACACAACGAATAGTGTGCAGAACAGAGAGTAAGGCGGGTTAGAATAAAGTGCCACTTCCGTAAAAAGAACAAACAAGAGGAAATGGATGTGACCACACATTTGCGTATCCATGTGGAAAACACACTCAGAGACCCAGGACCCCGCGTGGCTGTGGCTGTGGCTGTGGCTGTGGCTGTGGCTGGGGAGGGATCCGCACTGCGCGCTCCCTCTGAGGTTGGATCTTGAACCAATGAATGAGTGTCCTGCTTCAGCCACAGTAAGTGATTTCTTTACAACGTGGTCTTGGGCTAGACTGGACCCCTCAGGGCAGGGACAGCGCCTTGTCAGGCCTGTGATGAATGCTTGCTGGTTGGAACTTCGGGAAAGAATAGTAATTCACGCTCCTGGGACCCATCCTACTAGAATTCCGGCAGGAGCAGTCCACGTGCTCGGACATGGCGGGCGCCCAGGCTGCCCTCCGGGGCTGTCCTCACCCGGGGCGGGGGAGGCCCTGCGGCAGCTCTGAGGCTGACCAGGCGGTGAGAGGACTATGGGCTCTGGTCCCAGCCTGACCCCATGTCCCTCAGGCCCCTCTCCACCCTCACGATCTATGAAGCGAGCTCAGACAGCTCCGACTGTGGTGCCGCTGCGAGACAGGGCACCGCCATTAACAGGCAACCGCAATGGCCTCTGAGGACTGTACTGGTGCTAGAACCTTCCAGACAACCCAGAATGCTGAATACACGTAAATACATCAACATACTAGCAAGCGAGGAATATGGTAGTGTAGTGGCTGAGGTGGAATCGCTTCTTCCCTCCTTTTCTTTCTTCCCAATCTGGAGCCGGTGAGATACAAAGTACACAAAGGAATGTTTAAGGAGAGAAGTGGGCAGCAGACAAGGCGAGCAACATTGTTTCTGTCCTCAGCAATTAGGAATCCTGTGTTTCAGTTCAGTCTCTCCTGGGGCAGCCAGCAAGCTATAAGGGAAAGTGCCAGGGAAGGAGGAGGGTCTGAGGGCTCTGGCACGGGGAGGGGTCAGATGTGCCAAAGGTGGTGGAGTGTGCAGGCTACATGGGAGGAAGGCGACTCGCGCCAGCTCCCGGGCACATGGCTGAGCAGCTGCTCCCGCAGGCCAGTGCCGCTCTGCGGAATAATGGCCGGATGTGGGCAGACCACTGTGCTCTTGTGAAGCAGGGGATTGCTTAAGGGGTATTTCCTGGACAATGGATTTAAGCTCAAACACTCCTAGGAGCACAGAGGGGACAGTGACTCCCATTAACTGACTCCTGCTCTCATTGTCAGATCACAGACAACTCACCACCTCAGGAACATGCAGGGTGAGCGGAGGCACCTGCGCAGAGGTTCTGTGGAAGCTGTCAGGTTGCACGTGAGCTGTAGGCTAGTTTTACATGCATCACATGTATGAGAGAACGCTATAAAGGTTCCACGGACTTCAATGCTGAGGGATAGTTAGAGTAAGGTGACCAGACGTCCCGCTTTCCAAAAAGATTCTTTCCAAAAATTGAGACTTTTTTAAAAAGCCAAGGGACGCAGGACCAATTGTTAAAAATCGGGACTGTCCCGCCAAAAGCGGGACATCTGGTCACCTTAAGTTAGAGGGACTCACTGCTACTTCTGCAGAGCAGTGTGGAGGGCAGTTAGACATGGGCAGAGCGAGGACGATAGGCCAGCTACAGAAGGTCACCAGGCGGAAAGCCCCGGGTGCTTGGCAACGGACAAGAGTAGGGTGGGACCTCCTCCCCAGGGTGAGCTTCCCTCCCTTGGCAGACGCTGCTCATGCGCTCTGGACCCCCTGGCCTCCCATGCCTCTGCTCATCCAGTCGAGACCCCTGACCTTTCCTCCTTAGGCTAACATCTAGCCTCAATTGTATTTTAGCTTCAGGGCCAGAAAAGCAGAAAAGCAGACAATCAACCCCAGCACCTGCCCTGGCGCCGACCAATCAGCGGAGACTCTGACCCTGAAGGACCCACCTGGGAAGCTGCTGAGTGTTCTATGAAGAACTTCGCTGGGGCCTCCCTCCCCTACACTCTCCGCCCTTGAAACCCTTAGGGTGGGGACCCAGCACCTTCTCCCCAGGGAGCATGGCTGTGCCTCTTCTCCCCCACCCCAAGCATGGCACCTCCCCCTTCCTCACTTCTTTCCCTCTACAGCTTGTTTCCTAAGCACAGTTCTTCTATAAATTACTTCTACCTCTGTGATTTTGAAATAAATGCTCTCTTATAGTTTGGCTCTGAATTCTTTTTCAGCCAGAACTCAAGTACCGAGGCGGTCTGACCCCACTGCTCTAGCACCAGCTGCCACCTGGAAGAGTAAAGAGCCACCTGTCTGACTCATCAACTGGGAAAGCTGTCATGCTTAGGTATTGGGTTTTGCTTTAAGCAAAATACATACATGTTAAGACAACACGAGAATCTTAGACCCACTATTTTTAAATGTCTTTTCTCTGCATGAAATGTCTAGTTTAAGTTTATTAACCTCAGTCCATTTTAAGTCCTTAGTAAAATCATAAGGATGATCCGTTTTAAGAGAGTTATGCTCATTCCCCAATAATTTCCGCTAGCCTTCCTTGCCTGCTCTGGGGGTGAAGTCTGTCAAACCCTTTCCCGGACCCACACCAGATACATACCTCCTCCAGCTGTCCGGGAGGAACCGGGTCGTCGTCACAGGCAGGGAACTGACAGCCCGCTTTGCAGCCACAGAAAGGACTGGTTTCTTCCTCACACGGGGCCATTATCTTACAGTTTGCCCCCGAGCTCTCGGCGCCGGCTTCCGGGGGCTCGTCCCCGCGGCACTCCAGGCACGGGGCCGGCTTCGCGGCCGGCAGCCCCGCCGGCTCCTCCTGCGAGTCCAGGGACGTCTGCGCACTCTTCTCCATGCCCGCCTTCCTCAGCCGGGGCAGGAACTTCCCCGACTCCAGCTCCGACTTCCCGTAGTAATGGCCTTCCTTCTGCGCGTCCTCCTCCAGGGGCTTGAGATCTGCCTGTGGGTCTTCGAACGCTTCAGCCTGAGGAGGGAGGGGAATACCGGCTTCGTCCTTCTCCGACTCGAACTCGGACTCGCTGCCCCCTCCAGGGGACAGTTCCGAAGCGGAAATGGGGCGGAAGTGAGTCCGGGGCGAGATCCGAATGGCCCTGTACCGGGTTCTGTCCACGCCACATATCCTGGGGCGGAAGGCGTCGCTGTCGGAATCCGAGCAGAGGATGGACTTCGGTTTAAAACTAGGGCTGAACGATGCGATCCCTTCGGGTTCAAAGGAACATTCCACGTGGAGAACCTGTGAGAACGGATTGTTGAAGTCGAAGGAAGAGAATGAGTATTCGAGTCCCGGATCTTCCACTTGGAAGTTGCCGCAAGCTCCCAGGAAGTCTTCGTGGAAGACCAAGGAAAACCCCTTGTTGAGCCCGCCCTCGCCCGTCCTCGGCGGGTCGCTCTGCTCCAGGGACACGAAGGGCTTCCACAGCTGCCGGTGGCCAGGCGCGAAGCTGTTGCCCGGCGTCATGAAGACGTCCGTGCCGGCGATGGTGACCACGTCGGAGGCCGCGCACTGCAGCAGGCTGCCCTTGGCGTGGCCGGGCGGCACCACGGCCCACTCCCCGGCGCTGCTGAAGGTCTTCAGCTCCCCGTACACGCCGCCCGGGATGAACGCGCTCTCCTTCTCCTGGGCCGCGTCCCAGGGCTTGGAGGGCGTGGTGTAGTCGCCGCCGTCCACCTTGGACAGCTCGCCGGACGCGAAGGCCCGCTTCTCTGGGTCCTCCTTCTGCCCGTCCCACAGGCGGTACTCGGACCGCTGCACGGCCTTGCTGGGCTCACGGAGCGGCTCGGCCTCGGCCTCGGCGTCCAGGCAGCAGCAGTAGTTGTTCACGTCTGGCGCGAAGAGCTCATCGGCAGCTCCTTCCACTTCCGCCAGCGCCGCGGCGTCCCTCTCCGCCAGCTGCGTCCAGATGTCTTTCACGGCCCCCGGGCTGCAGCCGCCCCCGCCCGGGCTGCCGTCCCCACGCACGTGCGTGGTCTCAAAGGTTTTGTTCTCTGGTTTTTGTTCTAGCTGAATACCACAGACAGATTCTAGTTTCGATTTTTTTTTAAAAACTAAAGTAGGGATCTCTCCTAAAGTTCTACTGTTTTGTTGGCAAGTTTCATCTTGCAAGAAATCTAGAAGTTCTTCATCTACATAATTTGACGAGACTCTAGGAACTACGTAATTAATATCTTCTGCATTAAACTGCGTGGATTCTTCAAACTGGAGACTTAACGTCTCATTGTCTGAACGAGTTTCTTCTGAATGGGACCATGGACTACAGGTTCTTGTGGAAAGGTTAGAACAGTGTTCATTTTCTTCAAAGGCACTATTTCTGGTCCATATTAGCAATCTGGACTGTGTTTTCTCAAGTGTGTTCACACTAGAATCTGTATTTTCATCCCCCAAGTTGAGTGTTTCAAAAGAAAATGGTAAAACAGAATTACTGCATTGCACTTCAAACACTGAAAAACAAGAGTTTATACCAGATCCTTCATTAATATCTGAGAAGAGCTCTTGATTGCCAGCAAGCAAATGTGGGTTGAGGGCCGCGCCGTCTAAGATGGGGGAGAGTCTGATCGGAGACTCTCCCCCGAAGCTCTCGCCGTCAGCATCCACGGAGCTGGACGAGCAGCACTCCCAGAACTGCGCCAGGTTGCCCAGGCCCTGCAGGAACTGGCCCTCGGCGGCCGCGGAGCTGGTGGAATCTGTCCATATTGCACGTTCCCCTTGCAACTCCATCCCATCTAACACTATGCAACATTCTGCCTCAAAATCGCTTCTCTCTCTGCTTTTTTGTCGAATCATATTCAAAATCCGACTTTCTCCTTGCATTGTTTCTGAGGCACCAGGATCCAACATGGATTGGTCAATATCCACTTCATAGAAGTGTGTTAACTCTGACAGATGAATATCATCCAGGTAGCTGTTGTCCTCAGGGAGAGAACAGAACGAGGTCCCGGGGAGGTCAATCTCCTCATTGATAACCGCAGGCATTTCTACAAAGTGACCGTCGATGAAAGTACCCGCTGCGAGGTATGCTTTATGAACGTTGCTGTTGCTGAGACAGAGACCGTGCACGGAGTCGGACAGCTCCCCCACCACCTCTGCCGTCGGGCCCCGCGCCTCCTGCGGGTTCCGGTATGTGGTCTCTAGTTTACTCTTCCTGCTCACGGGAACGAAGTACTCTGCGATGGGCTCGGTGTACCACAGCGGCTCTTCTTTGTACTCCGTGTCGTTCCTGCTGTCCAGGTGCAGCTCTCTGTCCTCCGTGCTATCCGTGTCCCTCCTGCCCGCCTCTTTCAGTGGTCTCTTCGCCCGCCTGCACAGCTGTCTGCCAGAGCCGCCGCCGCCGCTGCTGCTGCTGCCTCCGCCCACGTGGGCGCTCCTCTCGGCCCTCTCGCCCTGCCTCAGTGAGAGCCTGCTCTGCCCGCCCCGCCCCTTCCTGCTGCGGAGGTCGCGCGCCTTGTGTCTGACTTTCACGCACTTGATGGACGCTTTCAGCTCCCCCTGGTTGCCGCTCGAGCTGGAGCCTGCCTCACTGGAGCCGGAAGACCAGGAGCGAGGGCGGGCCTTGCCTTCGGGTTTGTGTCGGATCTGTTTTTTGTACAGAGCAGGCTTCTCTTCGATTGTGCCGTTCCCAAATTTGTTCTCCTTCTCGCTTTCACTCCTGCTCGGGGCTTTCGAGTGGCCAGCGGGGGGCCCCGCCTCGCCTCTGTCCCTGCTGGCCTCGCCCTCACTGTTGCAGTCCCTGGGGGACGCCGTGTCTGTGCTGGCCGGGGGCGCGGTGGAAGATGACGAGGAGCTGGAGGAAGAGCAGACTTTGGACTTGTTCCACACGGTCATGATCTCCTGCAGGCAAACTGGCTTCTCCGACAGCGGGGGAAATGCTTCGTAGTACCTGCAAGACAGCCAGAGAGTTGGGCAGGGCACTGGCACAAGACAGCCCTCGTGAACGTGACCAAGCGGAAGACTGGGACATTCATCGTAACGGTCAATGGTTACATTATCCATGAATCACTAACTTTTAAATTATTACTTACACAGTAAAATAGCCTTTACTGTTAGTCCAAGGTACCAAGTCCAATATTAAAATATGTAAAATGACAGTTTTATCTTTAAAGGCTGGATTTTAACTAAGAAGCCTTAAGTGAAATATACAATATCGTGGGAAAATGTAACCTTTTGGTCAGAGATGCCTGAATGCCATTCTCACTATGCCACGGCTTTAAACTACTTACTTATGCAGCTGCTGTCTTTGCTCAGCTGTGGAGTGGAGATGACGTGACTTACCTCACAGGCTCTGTGAGGCTGGGAGTGGATGTAGCTGAAAACCTGTACAGCCAAGCAGGCGAGAGCAGAAACTCTGAAGCCACACTTCCTGAATTCAAATCCTGTCCATTTCCAATCGCTTCTCGGCCTTTTGGCTAAGATCAAGTGTAGTATCAAATCCTGTCCATGTCTAGCTGTGTGACCTCAGCATGTCACCTTAATAACAGTATCTACCTCACAGAGTTGTGGAGAGTAAAGGGATTAGGGTGTGAAATGAGTCCTGACAGCATCTTCTTGAGTGACTGTTGTCATTACTGCTGATTCTCAGGAGACAGCACGATGCCAGCAGTAAGGAGACCCTCAGAAGTAGCAGGGGTTAAGGTCTGCCAGTGTGCAACCCAGGGGCCAGCGAGGCCGGGGCCAGCCAGAGCAGGTCCCACAGTGCGCCTGCACGGCCAGAGAGGGAGTGGTGCGGGGAGGACGCCTGTGAGGTGCCCGGCCCGGAGCCTGCTCACACAGGGACCCTGCGTGCGGGGGGGACCTCGGGAGGCGGGCTTTACAGGCCGGAAGGTGGGAGAAGAGCTTTGGGTTTGCTGGGAACCTGGAAGCCCAGGAGAGTTCACAGCGAGTCAGAAGGCAAAGACAGTCTCTGGGCAGGCTGGCTACCAAGGGGACTGTCACTCTGGGTGCCACAGTCAAGGTCACATGTGAAGCAATTAAAGGCCACGCTCACAAAGGGCCCATGATTCCTGCTCAGTCCGCAGCAGAGCTACTCGAAGCATACTGTGTGCCGCAGATATATTCTTACTGTTCTGGGAGTCGCATTAAAAGTATAAAAAACAGTGAAATTCATTTCAATAATGTATTTTACTTAACCAAACATAACCAGGATATGGAACATCATTTCAACATGTAATTGGTGTTAAAAGGTATTAACAGAGTAGTTTACATTCCTTTTTACCCGAAGTCCCTGTAATCTGCTGGAATTTATATACACAGAACATCGTTTTGAAGTGGCCACATTTCAAGGGCTCAACAGCCGCACATGGCTTAGGACACTGTGGTGGACAGCGCAGGTTTACACAAATCCACCCAATGCTACCCTTTCCTTAAGTCTTAGCGGCTCAGAATATTCAAATAAAATGTATAATAAAGAAGTCTGCTTATAGTGCAGCTGATTGTAATACTAACATTACAAAGAAAGAACTAAAAGTGCCCTCAGCAAACACGTCTGGCCAGGCCCGTGGCTGGAGCCAGCAGTGGGCACCTAGTTTCCTGTGTGCCAACAAGGTAAGCACAACGGCTTTCTGCTGTCGCAGAGGATGATGGGGAGCTTCCACGGGCACAGGACATGAATGGACCACAAATAATCACCTTGGCCGAAACCGGTTTGGCTCAATGGATAGAGCGTCGGCTTGGGGACTGAAGGGACCCGGGTTCGATTCCGGTCAAGGGCATGTACCTTGGTTGCGGGCATATCCCTGGTGGGGGGTGTGCGAGAGGCAGCTGATCGGTGACTCTCTCTCATCGATGTTTCTAACTCTCTATCTCTCTCCCTTCCTCTCTGTACAAAATCAATAAAATATATTAAAAAACAAAAAAAACAAAAAAACAAAACAAATAATCACCTTGTTTCCTTCAGTCACCGCACAAATATTGATTCAACATGTATGTTAAGGATAGAATCTTATTCGCCTTTGAATTCTGTGTCAAATATGCAAGTGAGTGCTCAATGCTCCCTGAATTATAAAATACAAAACTACATACAAGACGAACAAAACTGTAAACCAGGCAGCAATTCTCACTCCGGTGTTCACAAGTGTGCGCTCTGGGGCTAAGCGAGTCTTACGTACATTTCCACTTGATCCTTTGCTGTTGGGGACAGTTCTGCCTCTGGAGAGGGAGACCCTTCTACCTTCTTGTGAATCTTCTCTTCTGTTGAGAAACAAAAATTGAGAAAGATTTGTCATGTTTTTAAACATTTCTCGAGCTTTGATGGAAACCACTAGGCTTCTGTGGCAGTTCATCTTGGTAATAACCACCTATTTCTGCAGTGTGCCGGGGGAAGTCTCTGGCTACACCCCGTGAACACGGCTGAGGTGAGGCTTGTCCGTCTCATCACCGAGCCAGTGCTCTGGAGGCCCCTGACTGAGAAACGGAAATCCCCTGGGTATGTGTTAATTACATCAGCGAGAGAGAGAACATCTGTTTAGATTCCAAAAATATTTTCCCACAAAATTCTGCACTCACAGACTTTCTATACCCACTCACCTTGGCTAATGCTAATCTGAACAGAAAATTCTTAATCACAATTCGCAATCCGTCACTTAGCATCTAGATGGCCGAGGACTGTGTTTCCACTAAAACAGAATCCAAAGGCTAGTCCCTCAGCTTAGCTCAAGATCCTGCCAGGACTTAATCACAAACCAACCAACCACGCCCTTCATAGGAAGGTCAGGACTTGGTGGGCAGCAACATGAGCCTGCAGAGGACCAGGAAGATAACAGTGCTTATTCCCAGCATGGGCTGGCAGAAAAGTGGGGAAAAGACGTGATCAGGGCTCCTGAGTCCAAACGGCTCATTGAGGTTGTCAAGCTGCCTGCCCCCAGAATTCAAAAGTCAGAGTAGTTCTTCCAGAGCGGAGGTCCTGGTGCTGACACCTCACTAAGGCCCCGGTGTCGGAGGCGGCGTGAGCGGGCCGGGGCGGGAAGAGAAGTGCTGCTCCTCTCCCCGAGGACCCTGCGGCCAGTCCCTCAGCAGCAGGTCTCCCGTCAGACAGTGGAGGGCTGTGCCGGGCGGCCTGGAGACAGACTCTCCACACGGTGGTTCCTGCTGGCTCCATCCTAAGCCCCCCCCTCGGCTGGTGACACCACGCCGGGCGGACAGGCCTGGGCGCACTCACCTTGCTTGCTCTGCAGGTCTTTGAGGCGGGAGCAGAGCTCCTCCACCAGCGTCTCGATCCCGGAGCTCTGTGTGGGAACAAAACTCACATTCACCTGCTGCCGGGCACGCAGAAACCAGGCACTTGTGTTCCTTTGCTTTAATATGAAGGTTTTATAAAGAAATTAATTTTCCATCTTCCAAAAGAAATACATGATCGATATTTAAATGAACACAAAAGTTTAAACATTATACATCTGTAGACCCAATTTAATATTCATATTTTACTAATTAAGTGTATCCAATGGCACTTACTGAAAAAATCACTAGTCTTCCCAGGGGCATAGCATCCGCTGATGGGCAGCCTAAGGACCTAAGTGCCCTCCGCACAGCAGGAAGTCACCATCCTGCTCCCCGCTACGTCACAAGGTCTGATGCTAAATTCATATAAAGAAAAACCGCAGGCTAAAACCGTTTGGCCCAGTGGATAGAGCGTTAGCCTGCGGATTGAAAGGTCTGAGGTTCAATTCCGGTCAAGGGCATGTACCTTGGTTGCGGGCACATCCCCAGTGGGGGTGTGCAGGAGGCAGCTGGTTTCTCTCTCATCGATGTTTCTAGCTCTCTCTCCCTCTCCCTTCCTCTCTGTGAAAAATCAATAAGATATATTAAAAAAAAGAAAAGCCGCAGCCCTGGCCGGCAGGCTGCCCAATGCCGAAGGCCTGGTTTCTGGTCAGGCACATACTCAGCTTGTGGGTTGTATCCCCAATAGGGGCGAGTGAGGAAGCAACCAATTGTTGTTTCTCTCCCCCTTGCTCTCTCTAACATCAATTTAAAAAGAAAAAGAAAACGCGTCAGTTATTTTAAAAGAAAAATCACAAACAGTTCCTCCGAGTCCTTGAGGAGCTCATGGTGGGAAGAAAACAAAGTGGTTTTTCTTTCCGAAACGAGTCTTCCTGGCTGACGGGGAGCGGCTGGCTCGGGGGCCGTTTTCCTTTAAGGGTCACGGGCAAGTGCTAGTCTCTGAGCGGGAACAGGGCAAAGTGGGAGGGGAAGAATCAGAGCCAACTTGAAAGAAAAATGAATGTTGCAACTGGCACAAGCAAATAACCTTTTACTTATGTAAACTTCTAAACTTTAAAAAGTCTACTTCTCACTAGAGGAAAGAAAAACCTTCCACCATGCACAAGAAAAGAGACTGTTTTGTAGAACCTTGTCTTCATTCCAGGTAAACCTGAAGTATTTAGACGGGACCTGAGTCTCCCTGGGTGGGCCGCACCGAACAGGTGCAGGGCTCCCCCTCCGCCGCTGGGCCTGCCGCTAAGAATAGGACTTCGCCCCGCTGGCTCCACGCAGAATGACTCAGCACAAGTTTTACAGACTCCCAAGCAAGAAGCCCGGCGGTACAGTGTGAGCAGTTTAAGCAGCAAGATCACATGCAAACAGTTAATGTAGCGATGATTATGACATTCTATCCACATCAGTTCACAGCTTTCGCTAGGGAGACGGGCCGGAGGGAGACTGGGAAATGGGCCAAAAGAGACTTGGTCTTTCCTTAAAAACACTCCCTCAGCCCAGGGCCGCTCTCAGCACAAACACGCTCCTCCTCACAATGCCACTGGAAAGACGCTTACCATAATGCTCAAGGTGGGTGAGATGGCCGTTTTATTCCACTTCCTCCCGATCATGAACCTAACCCCGGCGTCAGCTGACCCGCCTATGTCACTGTGCTTCTGAAGCCAGTGCCAGTCCCGGGGCAGAGCTCCGAGGCTCAGGCTCGCCTCCGCCTCTGCCTTCAGCACCAAGGCGCAGGCTGCCTAACAGTCTGCACGCTACAACCTGCACATGAGAGGCTAGATATTCTTTCTCATGCTGTCTCCTCCACACACTGTAATGGAGTTGTCCTGGACAGTAATACAACATAGAAGCACATATACTTGCTCTCATTGTTTAATGGCAAAGAAACAATGAACTTGCTGCTTAACTCTGTGCCTAAAAACAAGCTCTAGCCCTAGCTGGTTTGGCTCACTGGATAGAACAACGGCCTGCAAAATGAAGGATCCTGCCAAAACTGGTTTGGCTCAGTGGATAGAGCGTCAGCCTGCGGACTGAAAGGTCCCGGGTTCGATTCCAGTCAAGGGCATGTATCTTGGTTGCGGGTACATCCCCAGTAGGGGGTGTGCAAGAGGCAGCTGATCGATGATTCTCTCTCATCTCTCATCGATGTTTCTAACTCTCTATCTCTCTCTCTTCCTCTCTGTAAAAAATCAATAATATATATATTTTTAAAAATAAAATAAAAGTTTAAAAAAAATGAAGGATCCTGGATTCGATTCCAGTCAAGGGCACAGGCCTGGGTTGCGGGCTTGATCCCCAGTGAGGCATATGCAGGAAGCAGCCAATCAATGATTCTCTCTCATCATTGATATTTCTCTCTCTCTCCCCTCTCCCTAACTCTCTGAAATCAATGAAAATACATTTTAAAAAAGAAAAAGCAAGCTTGACCCACCAGGCGTCTGTTTCCTGTCCTTGACCATCACAGCATCCAGCGTGTGTGTGCAGGTTAGTCATTCGACCCCTGGGCCATTGTGAGAGCCAGGGAGAAGCAAAAAGGGCACTGTCCCTGCCATCCTGGCAGGTGCACCAAACTGTTCATTTGGAGCTGCCAATGAGAAATATTATTTGCTCTCCCAATTATAGTATATAAGCTATTACATAATCTTAAAAACTACATTTTAATACCACATCTATAGTGCATTCAAGAATGCGAGAGAGTGACATCAGAGGAATGGCAGCGTGAGAGAGCCCTTGGCCTCTCCTACTGAAACGCCAACAATTTAATCAGCTATAATTCAACAGAGAAGTCCTCGCTCCACACTGAAGCATGCTGGAGAGAGCTGTGCATGGAAACACGGAAAGGTGGGCACCGGAAATAAACCAGGAGAGGAAAAGGGAGGAGAGTGCAGATGGCACGCAGACACAACCCTGCGAGCAGCGAGGGAGCGCACAGGGGCTGAGTCACAGGCGCCTGACAGGGCCCAGGGTCTGTCCTGCGGCTCTCCGCTGTCAGGCCAGGAGGCAGTGTTTCACACAAAAACAGACCACAGAGCCCTGCCGCTGCTTCAATTCCCAAACCTCACCTCCTGCTGGCCTGGGAGTCGGGTCCCGGAGCTGGTGCAGGAGAACTGCAGCTTCCCTCTGTGACTGATGCCCAGGAGGGGTGCTCGGGCACCGTGAGGACAGGGGTCGCCACCACAGGGAAGGTAAAGCCAACCCCACAGGCAGAGTGTCTTCAGGAAGCCGGGGAGGTTAGACTAGGAGGTCACAGAGTAAGAAATCTTACGATTCAGCACCATCTACTGGAAAGCAGTAGGAAGGCCTCTTCATTAATATAGACAGAATAGCAAAGCAGCAGCTAATAAGCAAAGCAGAACCAAATACCATGAATAACCCAGTAACAAGGATGTTACTTACAGAAAGAAAATGAAAATTCCCCAGAAAGCAAGCTGGAACACATGGAAATGTGTGATATACATGCCAGAGATTTCAAGATGGCAGTTCTGAAAATACTCAACAATTCGAGAAAATACAGAAAGGCAATTCAATACACTCAAAAAACAGATCAATGAACAAAAGGAGTACTTAAAACTTAACAAGAACCAATCAGAAATCTCAGAAATGAAGCATGCAATTAAAGAGATTAAGAGAGAACTACTGAGACTAGAAAACAGAGCCAACGAGATGGAGGAAAGAATTGGTGGTGTTGAAGGCAGTAAGAGAGAGACCTGGACATAAACAAAATGAAGAGCTCTACAAGAAGAAGCAACATTGGAATTAGAGGAATTCTGGAAGAAGAGAGGGAGCATGGAACGGAGAGTCTATTCAAACAATAGTGGGTGAGAACGACCCAAACCTAGGGAAAGAATTTAAGCCTCGAATCCAAGAAGCAAACAGAACACCTAGTTACCTCAGTCCAAAGAAGCTCTTTCCAAGGCACTTGGTGTTAAAGCTGTAAAAAATTAATGAAAAAGAAAATTCTCAAAGCAGCCAGGGAAAAAGAAGGAAGTGATCTACAAAGAAAAACTTATCCGAACTTCATCTGACTTCTCAGCAGAAACCCTACAAGCCAGAAGAGAGTGGAGCCAAATATTCAAACGTCAGAGAGAAATTGCCAGCCATGAATAATATATCCAGCAAAAGATCCTTTAAATGTGGACAAAGACATACAGAAGCTGAGGGATTTTATCATCAGAAAACCTCCATTACAAGAAATATTCAAGGATATTATTCTACCTAAAATAAAGAACATAAGATCACAACACTATGAATAACATCACCAAAAAACTTACAGCATAAACAGGAATAATTTGTGGCAGCAAAAACATAACAGGGGAGGGGATAAAAATCTGACTGGCAAAGGAAGATGAAGAGCAGATGCACTTAAAAGAAAAAGAACACTACGGTACCATATGCAGTTTATTTCCTATAAACATAGTGGTAACCACACAAAAATCCCACCTCAGGTCACACACTTAAAAAAAAAGAGGAAACAGCCCGGCAGACATCGCTCGTGGTTGAACATTGACCTATGAACCAGGAGGTCATGGTTCAATTCCTGGTCAGGGCACATGCCCAGGCTTTGAGTTTGATCCCCAGCAGGAGGCATGCAGGAGGCAGCTGATTGAAGATGCTTCTTAAGGATGTTTCTATTTATCCCTCTCCCCCCTCACTCTCTAAAAATCAGTAATATTCTTAAAACATATATATACACACACACACACACATACATATGCCTTGGCTCAGTGGATAGTGCATTAACTTATAGACTGAAGGGTTGCAGGTTCGATTCGATCAAGGGCATATGCCTGGGTTGTGGGTTCAATCCACAATGGGGGTGTGCAGGAGGCAGCCGATCAATGATTCTTTCTCATCATTGATGTTTCTCTTTCTCCCTCTTCCTTCCTCTCTGAAATCAACAAAAATATATTAAAAAATATAGAGGCCTGGTGCACAAAATTTGTGCACTTGTGGGGATCCCTCAGCCTGGCCTGTGCCCTCTCACAGTCTGGGAGCAGGCCTAAGCCAGCAGTCGGACATCCTTAGTGCTGCTGCAAAGGCGGGAAAGGTTCCTGCCACCGCTGCTGTGCTCGCCAGCCGTGAGCCCAACTCAGGGCTTCTGGCTGAGTGGCACTCCCCCTGTGGGGTGCACTGACCACCAGGGGGCAGTCCCTGCAGTGAGAGTCTCGCCCTGGTGGTCAGTGTGCATGATAGCGACTGGTTGTTCCACCATTTGATCAATTTGCATATTACTCTTTTATTATGTAGGATATCCTTGGATAAAGATTTTTTTTTTTAAAGAAGTAATATAAACCAAAGAAAAAGTAATACATGAAAATATCCTGGAGAACGTAACAACAACAACAAAATCAAGAGTAAGCTAAATATCCAGCAATACGAAGTGTATTATATTGCTGTTGGAATATTATTTCATGAAATCTAACTTAGACACTAAAAGGAATGAAGATATATATTAACAAGATGTTCTATATGTTAAATGGAGAAAAGGACATAAAATTTTTATGTATACTCGAATTCCAATGATACATACAGAAGAATACATTATATAAATACCATAAAGAAAAATTAGTAATGTTTATGTTACATGATAACCAGTAGATAATTTTTCCCAAGGTTTGAGTCAAGATGGTATACTTGTAGACTTTTAAACACCCCTTTTCTCTTCTTAAATATCCGAAATAAAATATAGCTTACTTCATCAGATGCAGACCGGAGACACTGGACAGCAGCCTGTTTTTTCATCTCTTCCAGAGTTAGATCTGAGCCCTTCTTCTTGCTCTTCCCCCATTTCTTGTAAGCTCCTTTTTCCCAGCCCAGGAAGATGTCATTCTCCTAAAGTAAGATTGGACACGTTTCAATGGCCAAGCATAAATAACCAGCTCCACACACTACTTCCCACATACTTACACATCCCCTACTAAATGTATTAATTCATAAACTGGTACACACTAACCAAGTGACCACAGAACATTATCAATCAGAACACTTCAGATGACCCACTGGTTTGGTATCTACTCCTGAGACTACTGATTACTTATGACTTATTACTTAAGATCTTACTAAATCTGACCCACATATTTACAGCAAATGCTAATAAACGACTCAGACATCCTATATCATAAATGGGTAATATGCAAATTGTCCCCTCAACCAGGAATTTGACCAGGGGGCAGGGCCAGCCTGCCAACTGCCCACGACCCCCACCCCAGCCCACCCCGCCACGCCCCCCAATCAGGGCGGGCTGGCCAGACCCCACTGTGCAAATTTGTGCACTGGGCCTCTAGTTTGCATATAAATTCAAGTATTACTTAAATTTTAGTATGAGTCCAAAACTATATACACAATTAAGTGTCCTCTCTTCTGTAATTCCCACTCTTCAATAGTGAGTGCTCAGGATTTAACAGTTAAATGGCTAAATCCCTATCTCTATGGCTTATAGTCTAAAAAAGAACAAACAAAAAAACACCCCAGCCCTGGCAGGTGTACTCAGTGATTAGAGCATTGCCTGAGGACGGAAAGGTCTCAGATTTTTTTTTTAAATATATTTTATTGATTTTTTACAGAGAGAAAGAAAGAGAGATAGAGAGTTAGAAACATCGATGAGAGAGAATCATCGATCAGCTGCCTCTTGCACACCCCTTACTGGTGATGTGCCTGCAACCAAGGTCCATGTCCTTGACCGGAATCGAACCTGGGACCTTGCACTCTGCAGGCTGACGCTCTATCCACTGAGCCAAACCGGTTCTGGCGAAAGGTCTCAGATTTGATTCCTGGTCAAAGCGTGTGCTTGAGCTGTGGGTTTGATTCCTGGTCAGGTTGTGTGCAGGAGGCAACCATTTGAAGTGTCTTCCTCATATTTATGTTCTTTTCTCTTTCCCCCTCCTTCTCTCCCTTTCATTCTCTCTAAAAATCAATGGGGAAAATATATCCTCCGAAGAGGATTAACAACAAAAAACAGATACAAACTATTCTGTTAGTATTTAGAGTTTATTTTCCCTCAAGTTTATGTCCATTATAAGAAGAAACCCTGAAAAGCAGGAAGAAAGAAGGCACATTACCCATGACCTACGGCCAGTGAACACTACACTATCCGGTCTGCTTCCCCTGGGCTTTTTCTTATGCTTTAAGACACATAGTTGAATTTACACTATTTGAATAATTTTGATTTAACTTATTATAGTGTGAACATTAACCCTATGTTACTACAAATTCTTTGGGGCTACATAATATTCCAAGATGTTAAGTTTACTTATCCATTTCCTTAGACTGGGACTGTCCAAATTTAATATTTCTAATCGATTTGCTTTGTTTTGTCTTTTGTTGTTGATGTTAATCCTCACCTGAGGATATTTTTAGAGAGAGTGAGGGAGTGGAGGAGAGAGGAAAGGAGGCGGCGGAGGGAGGGAGGGAGACAGGTGGAGAACAGACATCAATGTGAGAGAGACACATAGATTGGCTGCCTCCCCCATGCGCCCAACCAGGGCTCAGGATCAAACCAGCACCCAGGCACGTGCCCTTGACCAGGATTCAAACCCTCAAACCTCTGGTTCTCAGGCCAGTGCTCTAACCACTTATCAACAGCCAGGGCTGCTCTGTCTTTTTAAAAGCCTTTATTTGATAAATTATGAGTAAAACCAGTGGAGAGACAAAAAAAGATAAGAGACACACAATGTCAAAATTAAGAATATTATCTAGAAGAATACTTGGCCTCCAGTGGGCCCTGAGGAAATAGCTATAAGTAAATGAGATGGAATAAAGGAAACGCATAACAATTCACTCAAAAGATCTTTTAAGATCAAATAATATACCATCAACTGTCTAAACCAGTTTTTACTTTAAACAATTCAATCTACTTTTATGCCACCAGATAAGGTTGCAAGAAGGTCCATCCTTCCTTCACACTCATCAGAATGAGCATCCTTTACTTAATTCCTTAGGCATGTTTGCAGACTTAATGACCTGAAAAACATCTTTTCTGGCTGAGTGGTGTCTATTCCATTTTCCAAGGGAAAACGTGTGTGAGGGCCAAGGAAGAAGCAGCAGTATATTTCCACTGCCTGGCGAGTTTGGCGGGGCTGCACCTGAAACCTGCGATTCCTATCAGTGATATCTTCCGGAGCCAGGGCTGGCCTTCGAAAGGGAATTGAGGACGGAACCGTGACAACGGAGATCCCACGCTCCTGAAGGCAGGGGAACTGTTAGAGCTCTCTGTTGTTCACAGTGTGTAATACATGGTAAGAAGTTATTTGTGTAATTTGTGTAAAATCCTTTCTGTTTGAGCTGAGACTGGCTTTCCTTTCCCGAGTTTTATAACCCTATTAGAGGCCCGATGCACAAAATTCACCCCAGAGAGGCCTTCCTTCCCCAGCTGCAGCACCGCCTTCCCTCTGGCACCCGGGACCTGGGCTTCCCTCGCAGTACCGGCTTCGTCTGGAAGGTCACCTGGTCTAATCAGCACATTATGCTTTTATTATTATAGGTTTTTCTACTGAAGCTACTATATAGCCCAGCAGAGGTAGCACACATTCAAAGGTCCTAATATTTTTTTTAACGTTTTTATTGATTTCAGGAGGAAGGGAGAGGGAGAGAGAAACATCAATGATGAGAATCATTGATTAGCTGCCTCCTGCACGCCTCCCCAGCCCCTAAAATTCATATGGACATGTGGTCAGTGCTTCTGGAGGGCAGGCAGCCTGACAACACAGACCAAACGTCTCAAACATGTTATTTACTAAAATCTTTACTGCTGAGAGTTACAGATGGTTCCCCCCGCCCCATTACTCCTTTCCACTGGTTCTCGCCCCTCCCACGCCTTCCCCACCCTATTGTCTGTGTCCACAAGTAATGAAAGGTATGAGGGTTTCAATTTCTCTACATCCTCACCAACATTTGTTAGTCGGTGTGAAATGGTATCTCATCATGGATTTGATTTCCCCAAGAACTAATGATATTCAGCATCTTTTATAACTTTATTGGCCGGTTAGACACATCGCTATTCCAGTCTTCTGAGCTATGTATCTAAATCACATGTGTCAAACACAAGGCCCGCGGGCCAAATCCGTCCCGCCAGGCCTTGCAATGTGGCCCGCACCGCGCTGTCATCACTGCACTCCGCTGCATTTCCATCACAATGACAGTTTATGACTGTTCAGTAAACCATTCGGCCCGCGATTTAGGCTGGATTTTAGATTTTGGCCCCTTCTCTGATTGAGTTCGACACCCCTAATCTAAACTGTCTGTTCTGAACGCACATTTCTCATCAACCCTGTGGCTTACAAACAGTCTCCGCCTCAGCGGCTGGCTCTCATTTTCCTGATGGCGCCCTCAGAAACACAGTTTCTCATTGGGATAAAACCTAAGGTGCCGCCGTCTTCCTTGGCTGCTAGTGCTAGGCCACATCTAAGAGACCACTGCTTAATCAAAGTCATGAAGATTTACTCTCATGTTTTCTCCTCAGGTTTATAGTTTTAGTTCTTACACTTCGGTCCTTCGTCCATTTTGGGCTAATATTTGTATGCAGGATGAGGCAGGAATCCCACTTCATTCTTGTGCATGTGGCTACCCTTCCCAGCACCTTGTGTTGTAAAGACCTTCCCATTAAAGGTCTTTCTGAGAACAAGCTAACCAGAAATATAAAGATTTCTAGATTCTCCGTACAAAACTGTCTTGGTTACTGGAGCTTTATAGTAAGTTTTGAAATTGGGAAGTGTAAGTCCTCCAACTTTGTTCTTTTCCAAGACTTCTTAGGCCATTCTGAATCCCTAGCATTTCCATAGGAATTTTAGGATTAGTTTGCCAATTTCTACAACAAAGGCAGATGAAATGATGATAGACTGTGTGGAATCTGCAGGTTGTTGGGAGAGTACTGCTATCCGAATACTATTACACCTTCGGATCATGAACATGGGTGTTTTTCAACTTGTTAGGTCTTCTCTGGCTTCTTTCAATGACATTTTATGTTTTTAATGTGCTAGTCTTACACATTTTTTGTTACATTTATTCCCAAGTATTTTAATTTTTTTACACTATTGTTTTTTGTTGTTTTTTGTTGTTTTTATTTCTTTTTTTTATTATATTTATTTTTTCTTTATCTTTTTTTTTTTTTTTTTTTACAAACCCTTGTGTGGAGGGCTGACTTTCAATAGATTTTTACACTATTGTTAATAAAATTTTCTTAGCATCATTCTTTAGGGTTTGCTATATGTAAGACCATGTCATCCTATATAGTAAAAGCCTAATATGCAAATAGACCAAATGGCGGAATGACTGGTTGCTATGATGTGCAATGACCACCAGGGGCCGATGCTCAATGCAGGAGCTGCCCCCGCCCACAGGCCCCGGGCCAGCCGCGGCCAGGGCCAGCGGGGCCCCCAAAGTGCCCTACCAGTCGTCCAGCAGAGGGAAGCGACGGGAGCAGCAGTGGGGACAGGGCTGGCAAATAAGCAGTGGCAGCCGGTCAAGGCTGGTGCCAGCAGGGGCCCCGGTCGCCCCACCAGTCGCCCCTCAGAACAGCCCTGATCGCTGCCAGGCCTAGGGATCCTATCCGTGCACGAATTTCGTGCACCAGGCATCTAGGATGTCAGTCAATAAGAGATATTTTTAGTTCTTCCTTAACTGCTTGTTAATGCTGATTTATAAGATTTTCTGTATTTCATCTTTGAAAAATGTCTTCACACAAATATACTGCCAAATTACCAGTATTAATCCCCAGGCATGAGTTTAACTGAACACAGTGATTCTCAGAAGGCTTTTATAAAACTCTGTGGGATTCTTCTCGATAGCTGCCTTTTAGCATGTCATTAGTCTGATATTGGTTCCCAAGCTAAAGCCAGGGGGAGCGTCTCCCTAAGGTTAAGTGGGTCTGAGCCGCAGTGCTGCCTGTGCGCTGTGCCACGCGTGAACGTGGACTGGAATGCAGTTTGAGTTTGAACAGCACGCCGCTTCAGGTCTGTGTGGGAATGCGGGGTCTACTTCTTTTTTAACTTTTGACAGAAAATGTATAATGTTCCTTATTTGTGATTCAAACAATGTTATCTGTTAGAATTATTTTACTACATTATGAATTTTGGATATCAGTGCTATTTTGCCTTGTAATTTTAGGTTGGCTACATTAAGAAATATCAAGTTTATAGGAAAACCTACACAAAAAATAGTTATACTTTCTACATTATGCTCTTTCCACTGATTGTATCTGAGAGCTCCTTCACCCTGCTTTTTTCTGGCTCCATGTACCTGTGAATGTGTTATCATTTATTTAACCAACAGCATGGAACAAATAAACAGATCTTAAAAAGAACACAGTATTTTTTTAAAAGCGTCCACGTGTTTCTATTTTACTGTCTGCAGTCTCTGCCTCTTGTGCTGTACTCATTAAAACATAAACATAAAATGAGACATGTGCCAAATGTTTACCCAATAAAACCAAGTATGCCTTTTCAAAGTCATAATCTTAAAGACAGCACAACTGCTAAGTACCAAAACTTCAAATATGCGGCTGAAGAACCTCTCCATAGGGGAGCCTGCCGGGACTTTTGCAGACACCACTGCAAGGTAACATAAGGCTACAGTCTTTTTTTTTTTTTAAACATATTTTATTGATTTTTTTACAGAGAGGAAGGGAGAGAGATAGAGAGCTAGAAACATCGATGAGAGAGAAACATCGACCAGCTGCCTCCTGCACACCCCCCACAGGGGATGTGCCCGCAACCAATGTACATGCCCTTGACCGGAATCGAATCCAGGACCTTTCAGTCCGCAGACCTACGCTCCACCGCTGAGCCAAACTGGTTTCGGCAAGGCTACAGTTTTGATTGACTTTCCCCGCTGTCTCCTATCAAAAAGGAAACGGAAGTGGAGGAAGAAAAAGAACACGACATTCTGGAATACAGCTGGTACAGTGACGTCTGCTGTTCGCCACTTAGCATCCACCCCCGCCTCCCACCCCTTCCTGTACCAGCACCCTGAAAAACTAAAGCCATGATTTGTCTGAATGGGACTAACGTTACACCGAGCTTAAAACAAATCAGCCTGTTTGGGTACCAACGAGCTTAAAACAAATCAGCCTGTTTCATACCGTTAATTCAAGATTGGTACAGAGATAGGCATGTGACCAATCAGAAATAAGCAAACAATAAATGTAAAAGTTTTATTGCTGGGACTGTAGGGAACACAGCCTTCAGACTGTGTGTGGGGGTATGTTGTACTCATTGTCATTTTGTCCTCTATCCCCAGGAACTGGTTGCAAACCCACTGGCAGAGGGAGGCAGCAGAGGTAGGCACAGGCCCCAGATGGCACCATGAAGCTCAGACCAGGACCAGCTGGGCCAGCCCTCCTTCGGAACTTTCAGTTATGAGACTTCTTCCCCAACATAAGCCAACTGACTCTTCCAGCAAAGCTCTCATTAGAACCGGAGGACATTTGAAGAGCTTCCCAAACAAGAAAAAGCTAAAGGAGCTCCTTACCACTAAGCCAGTGTTACATAAAATGTTGAAGAGTGTTCTCTAAGGCGAGGAAGGAGGGGGAAGAAATAAAAAACATGAAAAATG